ATCGGTCGTATACGACGGATGCGACAAATGCGACAGATGCGATCGATCTTTTCCTAATTGGGATATGGCCCCCAAGCATCCGGGCTCATCCGGGTCCCACAACGTATATGCCCAGCATCGATGCAGTATGTTACCGGTCAGGCCAGAGAACAAATGGAAGAGGCTGAATGGCTAATTGAATTAGACTTTCAAATAGTGAAAGATATGCTTGATCCAGTTGTTAAAAAGATTATCAATTTAATTCAAAGACACTGTGCGTCGACCGAGCGTAGACCCGCAGCTATGTTTTTAGTTGGTGCGTTTATTGAAAGTCAATACTTACAAACTCAAATTCGACGACATTTTGCGACACAATCCCAATTATTGCAGTTCCTAAACATCCCATAGCAGGTATTAAATATTCTCAGGATAATTAATTTGTTTATGTTTTTTCTTAAACATAGAATTGAATTTCTAAGAAACAATCTTATTTTCCATACTTAGCTATTGAACGGGGTGCTTTAGAATATGGTCTAAATTTGGATGTTGTCCAAACTCGAATTTTAAAATACTGTTACGGTGTAGAGGTAGTGCATGATCCACCACAGCGTCGTACACCTTCCGAACGTTTTTTTCATCGATTAGCATTGAGAGGTGTTGAAGTTGCTGTTGATCAAAAATTCTACTATACATGCACAGCAGATAAGAATCAAACTAATGTGACTTTTAATATATTCATTACTCCGGATAATAAAGCGAGGTATTGCGACGAATTTGTTGGGAAAACTGAAAATTGATTTATCAGATTCACAAGGACAAAAAAAATCAAAAGGTTTTAGTTTTACTTTGAAAAAACGAGTAATGGAAGTAATGGAGGTGGCTTTAATTCTGACATTTCGTACTATGGAGATTAAGGCTACGGCAATTAATAAAATGACTGGACAGATCTATAAAGACGCTACTTTTGTATTGGAGTTTTAATTGATTGCTTTATTATCTTTTGGTAAATAATTCTTTCTATCGAATATTGATTTCAAAATGCCGTAAAAGGTCGTATACAAGACTTGGGTCTGCAACATTCCAATGATTTTAAACCTATAGTAGTACGGTATATAATAAAAACCCAACGTTTATATTGTAACAGAAAAAATTTTAAACTACATATACGTTTTGCAATTATAATAAGAAGCTTAGATTATTAAAAAAATTCGTATTTAATTAATAGAAATCAGTATGTGGATATAATTCATGATAAATCTATCAAAGGATCTTGTATACGACCTTTTACGATATTATTTTTATATAAGTAAGGCTTATTTATTCATTTATAGTTTATTGTAAATGACTTGGACATTAGGGCCAGTATTGATAGGTTGATGCGATAAACATGAAACTATCGATCGATATTTATATAATCGTTATATGGGTTGTTATTCTTTTTAATATAATACCTTTTTTTCATTCGATAAGAAAAACATAGAACTTTATTGTAATTCTTTCTTTTATAATATAAACATTGTTGGGTTCGGAAGTTTGCGACTCTGTCGCTCCAAAATTCTAAACCTCGTGTAACGTACGACAAGTAACCTTTTCGAAAGAGGGTGTTAGATTTGGCTTGTGGGCGAGAAAGGCTTTCGGTTACTTTGGGTCAACGAATGCAAGTAGGGTCAGTCACGTGTACAAGGGTTGAACAGCGACGTTTACAGGATTTATGCCGGGTATAGTGTTAGGGTTTTATTATGGACGATTACAATGTATTGGGACTTGTTCATTACTAAAGCAAACGAGACATATCGTCCCTTAGGGCCATTTCGGCCTTTATTTATAATACTAAATTCGTCGCTCACAAATGCGACTTATCCCTTAAAACTAATTAAACTATTTACAAGTATTTATTTAATATCCGTTATTTCCTCCTTTTATTCCTTATCTACCCCTTTGGATCCGAAATACCTTTTCCGATCTTAAATATCACTTATTACACTTATTACATTTATTGCACTTATTGCATTTATTGCATTTCGTGCATTTTCACGTGATCGGTTACGATCTTCGGTGTCACAATATCCGTTGTCACAACATATATCACTAGATTAAATCTTAATTATACTACAGAAATATAAATATTCAAGCATTACAAGTTTTTATATACTGTATATATATTACTTATAAAACAAAACAATAAAATAAATTTGTCTGAGAATCTCCTTTTTTTAATAAAAAAAAATTCTTAATTGTATCAGTATTATTATTAGAGACACCAAATGCATGAGGACATCATCTATTTTCAATAATCACATGCAAAAAATATTTTGATTTATTAATATGGCTCAGTCTTTTCAAAAGTCTTAAGGATGTTCGAAGTTGATTCTTCGGTTAACATCACCTCCCCCTTAGCTGAAGGCTCTCCCGAGAAATGAACAACCAATCAAAATGCTAGATAGCTCTCATCAATCTCTTAATTTACATCGACCAATCAAATTGTCTCATTTTTTTCATTCAATATATTCGTTTAATTTTATCCCCTCCTCCTCCTCTAACCAAAAGAGGAACCTAGTCCTAGCTTTGCAAATACCCTTATTACCTGTTTATGAGGTCAGTCATATGAAATTCAAGAATGATAGAAAAATGATGATAACATATTGTTATATTAGAATTTGTAATAACCTAGATGTGGTGGTGTTAGACTCTGGAGCAATCATCAGTATAATGACCAAGAAGCTGATCGATAAGTTAGGACTTCATATACAGTCAAAATCTTCTACTGTCATAGTTATAACTACAGGTACCAAATTAAGAGCACTAGGTAAAATCAATAATATAAGAATATTAGTTCAGGACACAATAATCTTTAGTACTCTATAGGTCATAGAATTATTAGATGAAACCTTATTGTTAAGAAACAGTTGGTTTCAAAAACTCAAAGCATAGTTCCATTTCAATGAATGATGTTAATCTTAAAGCACCAAGGTTAGACTATAGAGGTGTCTATCTCTTATACTAGTATTAAAAGCTTGAGAAAACTCAGAAAGGATAATTGGAAAAAAGATAGTAGTAATACATTTGACAAGTTTATATATAAAGATGAACAATTAGATGAAATCAATAGATATTATACTGTAGAATCTTCTAATAATGAAATTAATCTTTATAGTAACTGTAAAACGATGAAGTTAGTCTAGCAATATATCTAACATTAGTCGAGGACAAGTCTATCCTGAAAAAAAAGAAATCCAAACTTACTATGATGAAATGGTTAGAAAAATTTATTCAAGTTGACACCTTGAGTAATAAAAAAAAAGAAGAAGTCTGTGTTTTCTTTAAGAAAGAATGTTGTTTGCTTACTATAGGTCTTGATAGATTAGAATCTACCAATCTCTAACTCACTATATAGATATTAACAAAGCTCAGCTCATTAAGCAACATTTCTACAGAACATCATTTGAAAAATAGAAATTCTTAAATGAGAAACTAAATTTATTAGAAAAACAAGATTTGATCAAAAAGTCTAAAAGTTTAAAGGTGTTCTCAATGGTGATCATTTTAAAGAAAAGAGTCAAGTTATACATGTGTATAGACTATTGACAGTTAAATTCAATAATGAAAAAAGATGCATATCCATTCTTATGCATTGATAATTTACTGGAAATATTTAGATAGATAAATTGGTTTACCAGTTTGGACCTAAGAAATAATTAGTGGCAGATATGAATAAACTCAAGTGACCAAGAAAAAATAGTATTTATAATTAGAAAAGGCTTGTGTGAATTCAAAGTGATACCATTCAGGTTGTGTAATGCACTTGTGATGTTTTAATGACTAATAGATAAGGTATTGGCAGAGTATATCAAAAAATTTATGATAGTGTATATTGATAATATTAATGTATATTTCAGAACATTTCAAAAACACTTTGATCATCTAAAAAAGTATTTATAAAATTAAATTTAGCCAGGTTAAAATTAATTTAGAAAAGTGTAGCTTCTTTAAAGCCAATCTCCAGTTTTTAGAGCATATTATTGGATATAACAATATCTAATCTAACAAAACAAAAATTGATAAAATAAAATACTACCTAGTATCAAAGACTATTCAACAATTAAGGACTTTTATAGAACTAATATTTTATTTTTGTTAGTTTATTAAGAGCTTTGCAACTATTATATAACCCTTATATCATTTAATGAAAAAGAATATTAAATATAAATAGACCAATAAACAGCAAATTGATTTTGAAAGATTAAAGATATACCTAACTACAGCTCTTGTTTTACAGTATTCAAATTTCTAAAAATCTTTTATTTATATATAGATACATCAGACATAAGGTTAGGGTAGTATTAGTACAAAAAAAAGAAGACTGTAAAGATTATGTGATCTTATATGTCAGTAGAGAACTGTTACAGGTAGAGAAGAATTATTCAATCACAGAGTAGGAGTGTTTTGCAGTTCTGTAGGCTATTGAATATTATTATTATTATTTCAAGTTCATGCTATTTGTGGTAATTAGTAACTATATGACATTAAAATAACTCCATATATTGAAATTAAATGAATGACAGACTAGATGAATTATATGTTGCAACCTTACAATTATAGTATAGAACATTAGGCTGATATGAAGCATAGTGATGCAGATGGATTTTTGTAACAAAATGATCTTCAGAAAGTTAGTAGTAATAGAATAGAAATAGATATTAATGTAGAAAATGGTTACTCTTACTAGTAGAATATGATGTTAACAAATATGATATTAAAAAGAAATTAGAAGGATATACTAGTTGGAGTATTAAAAATATAGAATAAATCACTAATAATAATACTGATAAATGGGATGATGTTGATGATACCTTTCAAGTAACAGAGACATGATGATATTTTGATGAAAATTTTGAAGTGTTTATTGTGTTAGAAGAAATGATTAATGAAAGAAAAGAAGACATAAAATTAGAAAAAGATAAAGAATTAAGAAATAGTTTAATAGAATTTACAGTCCTTCTTGAAATGAATAGATTTAGAATTTAAGATAGTGACCTAATGAAATTTTTAAAAATTGACAATAAGGTACTATATGGTGTTATGTTTTACCTATCTGACTAGATCCTATGGTAAAGTATACTATATATGTTTTTATCTAATCAAATTTGATCATTATATTTTAAAAGTACTAAATAGACATAAAACCATTCACTAACATAACATTACAATTATTAATTGTTAAATATGACCCTTGAAATTTGCTGATATTGTAGAATTGGATTATTAATAAAATGCAACATAAGTTGACTCAAAGGAAATACTTGTAGAGTACTGAGATCAATTTAAAATATACTGAGCTATTGGATAAGAAAGCAGTTAATGCTAATAGGGATATATAGTTAAGAAGAAATGATGGACCTACAATTATAAATCTATTCAAGATCAATAACAGGGTCTTGATATTTAATTAGAACCCAAAATTGAAAATTAATAAAGTTAGTCACTATTGAAGAGAAAACCAACTCAAGAAACATATTAGTTAAAGTCTTAGACATTTAATAAAAAATCAAATCTGATGATAAATAATATTCAGACCAGGTTATTAGTATCCTAATCATAATAAAGAAACAATAAATCCAATACTATATAATAAGGTGAAGCAATATATATATAATCAATATTTATCTTCAATTCTAAATCATGCACAAAAGAATGGAATAATTAAACTAAATAGAATCCTAGAACTAAAAGATGAAATTTGTTATAAGCTAAATATATATTATTAGAATGGATTAATAAGAATAGTACAGAAACTAGAAATCGATGCCATCTTGCTAATAACATATAACCATTTAATAGAAGGCCATTTTGAAATAGAAACAATGTTTAAAAAAATTAGTTGCATATATTATTAGTCTAAAATGTTTGATAATATAAAAGAATATATTAGAGCTTATTATAAGTATCAAAGAAGAGCAAGAATAAAACAAAAGATCTATTAA